GCCCTGCGGGCAGAAGGCTGGGCTCAGGCTGTCATCTGCGCTAGAATTTCTTTATAAAGTCAGCCTCTGAGAAAGGGGTGACCTCGGAGCAACAGGAAGCAACCGAGTCTCATTCCTTGATGTCCTTGAGTCACTTAAACACTCAACTACCTCGGGGTGGGGGGTCCTGCTCTTTGACAGCCACGGTGTAGAAGATGCTTCAGTTTCCTTAATTACTTGAGTGTCATCTGTCACTGGGAGTTTGAGGTGCCACGTGCCAACAAAACCAAAGAAGTTGCAGGGGGCTCGAGAAAGTCATTTGCTGTGTCCCTGGGACAGGCAGGAAGAATCACCTCCAGGACACCACTGATGGGATCCTGCCACGGAGGGAACAGCTGTCCCACCCGAACCACCCCAGATGCTCCCAGACAGCAGCTCCTCCCCACAGGCCCGTGCCCCGGCAGGGACCCCCAACACCAGGCCTGTCCTCTCCACGCCCAGACCTGCAGTGCCCTCACAGCTGCTCCAGGACGCGGGCGCTGAGGACAGCCTCCTCCACGTGGCGCTCCTCGCGGGGGATGGCCGATCGGGCGGAGCCCACCACGTGCCGCACCTCAGTGGGCAGGGCACAGCTGGCATGTTCCAAGAACTTAGCCACCAAAACCCTAGTGTCCGCGTAGGCCTTGCTGTCCACTAAAGGGTGCGGCCGCTCTTTGGAGACCGTCTGTAAGGCCTCTGGCTTTAACCGCTGGCCCGCTTTCCAGGCATCTGGCTCCCCGGGGGGTGAGAGCTGGTGCCCACCGACACAGGCAGCCGTGAAAGAATGAGACAGGGAAGCTACAAACCAAGGGAGAAGACATGGTCTGAAGACAACCGAGACAAAGCAGAGGGCAGCCATCCAGCACATTCTCTGAGCAAACACAAGGATGCCGGGAGTAGCCCTCAGCCGAGGTCTCCGTGTCCCCAGACTGCAGAGGGGCTGCAGCCTCCCAGGGCCGCAGGGCTGGAAGGCGAGATTGGAAGCAGGCTGGTGAGGGCGGGGTGGGGACAGGGCAGGGGTCTCCATCCGTTCGCCTCTCTGTTGAAACTCCAAGCTCGCAAGGAGGTGTCCCTTTCCAGCCTTCCCCAGATCAATGCCTTTCACCCTCATGGGCCTGGTGGCATCAGAGACGAGTCTGCCTTTAGACCAGAGCCAGGGGTGGCAGAGGGACGAGAGCCGCTCCCCCGAATCGAGGGCAGACAGCAGCCACCTCTCACGCGGCAGCAGAGCTCCGAGGTCCAGGGCCCCGTGCCCCAGAATGAACCCTCCGGGTAAGCTGACTCCAGGCAGTCCGCTGGGCCCGACCCGCCCAGGCCCAGATATGACCCAGCTTGTATGACCCGCATTTCAAGTCACACCGAGGAAACACATTCCGTCTGGGTGGTCTGGGGGTTTAGGGCGGCAGCGAGCAAGATTGGCCATTAAGCATGAGAAACTGCAAACTCAACAGGGGAGCCCCCTCCCCTGAACACAGAATCTCAGAAATACAGTGAAACAAGCAGCCACATGGGCGTTAAATGACTTGTACCATGACACATCCCGCAGAGAAGGCAGGCAGGCCAGAGTGTCCACGTGCCTGGGGCAGTGGCGGGGTGCTGTGAGGGGCTGGATGGAGACCCAGGCAGCCGAGGACCACTAGTCACCCCCTCTACCCTGGCACCATGGTTATCAAAGGGTTTCAGAAAAGGAGTGTCTCACCAGTCCCCAGGGCAGCCCGGGACAGGCCCGCCTCCAGGTCCTGGCAGTGGGAGGGGGTGTGCGCCGAGGCATCGCCTTGAGCAGAAAGAGAAATCAGTTAACACAGGGATGGGAGGAGGAACCCCTGATAGCCCCGGAGTAACCCTCCTGCGGCTCAGAAGTAGATGGAGATGCGAGACCAGCAAGTGGAAAACTCCTGAACGTAAGCAAGCCCAAGCCCAGCTGGCACCCAGCAGGGACCTCAGCGCGGGCCCGGCACAGGGCAGCACCACCAACAAACCTCGGGCCCCGCATCCGAATCCCCATCTGCATCCGGGGAATGAACGTGCATCCAGGGGTCTGGGACCCCAGGAGGCACGTTCTTCTGACATGTGAAACAGAAACTGTCTCACGCAATTCTCTTCAAATCCATCCCTAAAAGCTCACGGCTTGCAGCACATGAATCTCACTGAAGGGGTCAGGCCAGAGAAAGCCATCGGGGCCCGCTGGCAGAGCGTCAGCCCTGAGGGCTGACCTGTGGTACCCCGGCAGCGGCATCTTCAGGCGAAGATTCTGGTGAGGCGTGTCTGGGTAAGCTGGCAGGTGGGTGCGGGACAGGGACAGAGGGACACCAGCCAAGGAGCCACAGATGCAGAGCCCTGCATCTCCACCAGCTGCCTCGGTAGGTTCCTGGCTCCCTCCAAGGATACAATTCTCCCAGGGCACAGACAGGGTCTAATCTATTTGGGGTCCAGCTGGACAAGACTTTGGACCTGTCCAGGCACCGCGGGGCCGCTTCAGGGCTCTTTCACTTCCGCTTTATGAAGAAGTCCCCACGGCACTGGCACCACTGTCAAAGGCTCACCGACCTTTACCAGCACAAACCCACCCATCCTCTCCCTCAAAAACAGCAACCAGGAGGAGGTGGGGCCTCCAACTCCAAGATGCACAAGACCCTTTGGGGGGATGGTATGAGGTGCAAATTCCTGGACCCAGGACTCTGGGGCCGAGTGTCCCCACCCAGGGAAGACATTGCCCACTCTAACAGTTACGTGGGGCAATTCCAAGGCAGCTCCAGGCCACACCCAGAGTGCAGCCAAGGCTGCCCCCGAAGTGCTGTTGGACACATCCGTGTCCGCCTGGGGCAGTATCGGCCAGAGAACACCCACCCACCACTGTCACTGCGATGCAGCCACGCCTTACATTGCCCTGGGTCCCAGCAGAACTCTAAGCAGACACGGGCACCTCCCACACGTCTGTACCCAGGCTAGGCCTGCAGGGGGAGCCACTAAGGCTGACTGACAGATGCCGACTGTGGTCCCCAGACCTGCCCTAGGGCCAGCATCAGGGCTGGCTGACCCCATAGCTCTCATCACCCCAAACCTTTCACAGCCCCCACCCAAGCCCACCCCTGAAGGGCTTTGGACATTAAGATCATATTCCCCATGGGGCCCCAGGGCCTGGACTCCACTGTCGAGGGGACACTGAGGCCTTCAGTGTCCAGGGCAGGGCCGGGCACTTGGGGGACGCAGTGGGTGGGGCCCGCTGTACCTGCTGTCCTGGACATGCATGACGTGGGGTCACTGGCAGAGCGGGCCACACGCCTGGGACCCAGCCGCGCCTGCATGCCCGGAGTGGGTCGCTCAGGGGACATGTGGCCAGGGCGCGGGGCAGGCAGCGGAGTGCCAGGGGGGCCATCAGGAGATGGGCAGCTGAGGCCCGGGGCAGCAGCACCCTCGGAGGCCAGGAGGCTCGTGCTGTCGGCCGGCGCTGCAAGGCAAGGAACACAGTGTTAGCGCTGGTGCTGGGCGACCACTCGGTCACCACCCCCACAAAGGACAGCACCCGCCCGTGTGCCCATTGGAGTGGAGGGTACAAAGTGCAGCCACCTGAGTCCTCCTGAGGGGTATGAGCAGCCCACCCTCGAAACTCCAAATCTAGACACAGACAAACCCTGTAATCTTGAAGGTGTGAGAACCCTGAACAGACTGACAGCATGGTGTGTAGAAAGGATGGAGGGACCAGATGAGCCCCCAAGAATCATTTCAGGTTGGGTACAGGTCTCCACAAGAGAGTCAAAGTCGTATCTTTGAGAAACCAGCCGCATCTTCCATCCAGGGCATCCCCGGGGGGGTGATGCACAGGAAGGTGGGGGTCACAGGATGCCTGATAAGCCGGGCCAGGCGGAGAGAGGTGGGGGCTCCGAGGGGCTCTAGGGCACCCCAGCAACCCAAGACCTTGCCCACCCCACACAGGGGTTGCAGTCAGGACCCAGAGTGCAGCCCCTCCCTGGGTCAGGCAGTGGGATGTAGCCCAGCCCTGGAGATGCCAGCCTGGTCCTCAGAGCACCTGCATCACCTGGGAGTGTGCGGAACTGCACGTCCTCAGCCCCACCCCTACTATACTCCAGGGGTGGGCCCGGCCATCGGGGTCTGAACAAGCACCCCAGGGGATTCTGATGCCCCAGGTGTGAGAACCGCTGCTCTGGACCCGGGATGCTGGTCAGGCCCAGCTCTACCCCTGACTTCTCCACGGGTGGCACGTGGGATGTGGCTGGACGAGAATTTCTCTAAACAAGGTCCCTAGTGACCTGCCTGCACATCGGACTTGAGACGCGCTGCTCCCATCATCAGACTGGCTCCAGGCTCCCCTCCCCGAGGCCCCTCACAACCCCTACCCCGGCTGAAGTAGATCCTCGAGGTGAGTGGCCCTCGGGGGCCTGGGGGACACCTGGTAAGAACCACAGCGAGTGGCCCACCTGGGGGACACCTGGTAAGAACCACAGCAGCCCCAACTCCTGCAGGGCCAGGGGCTCTGGGGTCTGTTCCTACCATCCCTTCCTGTGGGTCTTGTGAAAGGCCGCTCATCTGGTCACACGTACCGTGCCCAGGGCTTTACAGCTGACCTCCCACCTCGTCCTCAGGGTCCACCTGGTCACCCCCAGTCCACGGCCAAGGACACGTGGCTGAGAGGGTGGGGAAGAGGGTCACAGGCCACTGAGTGGGACCTGGTTGGAAGCAGCCCCCTCCTGGAGCACCCTCGCTTAGCCACTGCCCCACTGGCTACTGCTGCCCTCCCAAGAGATGCTTTGGGACAATTAGCACCATTAGTCCATCTGGAAAAACAGAAAGATGAACCAGACCTCATGTAGCACATGCAAAAAAAAAAAATCTTCAAGACAATGGATCCTTTTCGTCTCTAAGAAACCATAAGAAGAGAAAAAATAAGGGGGTAGGGTATAGCTCAAGTGGTAGAGCGCATGGTAAGCTAAGCATGCCAGTGCTTATTAGCACGCGTGAAGTCATGGGTTCAATCCCCAGTACCTCCTCTAAAAATAGATAAACCGCATTACCCTCCACCCCCCACCGAAAGAAGAAGAGAAAAAAATATCTGATACTAAATCTACAACCCTGGGGTGGAGAAAGACTTTGTAAACATGACAGAAACCATAAAGGAAAAGCTTGGTTAAGTTTGACCACAAGAAACATTGTAAACTTGTGTGCGGCTAAGGCCTCCTTCACGGGGTTTGAGAACAAAGTGCAAACTGGGGAAGGAAACTTGCCGTCAATAGGAAAAGGGTCACTCTGACATCTTCTCTCACCTTTAATGAATATTTTCCTTATAAATCTAAAAATAAAAAACCCACTGTAAAAGGAGGCAGACCTTCAAGTGAGCAATACACATTTAAAAAGGTGCTGAATCAGTCCTGCATGTCATCTGCACCAAGAATGACAATGTCCGGGGCGTCACAAACACTCTTGGTGGGTATGTGGACTCGTAACAAAACCTTCCCAGATCACGGTGTGGCCAGGACAGCCACACCTAAAATACACACTCCCCTGGACTCAACAATTTCCACTCATCAGAATTTATTCCACGGAAATAATCGGGCAGGGACTCAACACTGTATAAACGGAGAAAAGGAAACACCCTTTCCTGCGTCATTAGAAAACTGCAAACCTGGGAACTGTCACTATTCACACTATCAGAATCTTATCAAAGTTACCCAGCAGCTCATTACAAGCCTTTTGAATAGTACTCACTCCTGCTGATTCTTCTCAGTCCCAGTTTTCTCTCTCCTACAGCTTTATCAAGGGATAACTGATACACAAACAGCCCGTACAGATTAAATGCACATAAGTCGATGAGGCTGGACACAGGCACGCACTCTGGATCGCAAGTCTCTTAATGTCAGTGAAAGCCCAATGGCTGAGCTCCTCGAGGAAACGAAGTCACGGCGAGACAACTGTGACTTAGCCCTGAAGATGTGTAACTAACAGAAACCTCACACAGTCAGGGGGACATTATGGGAGAAGCTCTCAGCCCCAAACAGGTAACTCTCTCTTCTGTCCTCCTTCCCCCTGGGCTGTGTTGTGTGCCTACATTTTTACAGAAGTCATGTTTTTCACCTGACGGATCACAAACGTTTTTCCTAATTAATGTAATAATATATTTAGCCTGTGTAACATGTTTTCCTGAACTTTTATTAACGGACTTCACCCCCATCAGTTTCTACTTTATGACAAAATGAAAAATGTAACAACTAATCTTCATGCCTGGAGATTTGTTTGTTTGTTTGTTTGCATTACTCCCCTAGGGTGATTCCAGAAGTGTGATCACCACATCTAAAGGCAGAAGTAGTTCCGTGGCTCTTTTGCCAAAACCCTTTGCCAAAGAGATGGGCTGATTTGCAAGCTGCTAGTCAGGACTAGGCGTCCAGCCTCCCTGAGGTTTGCTAGCATCCATGGCCTCATTACTATTTTGTTATTTTAATAGGTGAAAAATATAGCAGAATCCTGCCACCCACCACCCCCCCGCAAATTCTAAAGCTGATGAGCGAGTTCAGTAAGGCTGCAGGCCACAAGAGGATGCACGAGAGTGACCCACATCTGATTCAGTCAGGCACGTAAACGAACGAGGAACGTGCAGAAACCCCAAGTGAAAAATCCAGTACCATTAACAGTGACTCCAAAGAAAATGAAACACGAAACACACACACTTAACAAAACATGTCCAGGATCTGTGTTCTGAAAATGGTAACATGAAATCCACGGAGGGGCATGCTGTGTTCATGCACTGGAAGATGGCAGTTCTATCTAAATTGCTCTACAGGTTTAAGGCCATTCCTATCAAGATCCTAGCAAGGTATTTCGTAGATATAGGCAAGCTGATTCTAAAATGGACATGGGGCTTGTGGTATACAGCTCAGTGGTAGAGCGCATGCTTAGCACGCACAAGGTCTTGGGTTCAATCCTCAGTACCTCCATTAAAAAAATTTTTAAATAAAAATAATAAAAATAAATAAAAAGGCAGCCTTTAAAAATAATGAAATAAAAAAATGGACACAGAAAGGCCCAGGGCCCAGGGAAGCTACAGTCTTGAGCAAGGATGAAGTGGGAGGCACCACATGCTGAGGCTCATTACAGAGCGACAGTAATTAAGCCAGCATGATAATGGCAGAAGGACTGAAACAGATCAATGGGACAGAACGGAGGACCTGGAAATAGACCCACACAATGACGCTTGATTCAGTTTTGACAAAGACACAAAGGCAACAAATGGTCTGGAACAATCACACATACAGAGACAAAAAATGACCTTGACATTGACCTTGGCCTTGGCCTCACCCTGTACAGAAATGACCTATTAATATCTGCCTGGCCTGCCCGTATTCTCCTCACTCAGGACTTGCCCTGTGGCCAGGAATCTGGGTGTGGGAAGCCCCCCGAGTCCCGGGTCGAGCCTAGCCCACTACCCAGGTTAGTGAGGCCGTGAGGAGGGCCCCAACCCCTCTTGTCTGGCTCCACCTGCCCTGAGACCACAGACAGGAATGGACTCCGGAGCCGCCTGCTGCCAGGCCTTTCTGACCACACTTTCCCCAAGAACCAGTGATCAGAAGAAATCACTGTGGCCAGGCCCCCTCAGCCCAAACTTTAGAATGTACTGCACCCTGGAGTTGCCTCTGGAAAGGCCACTGGGCACCATCTCTGAGAAGACACAGCTTCTAGGGGCTCCTGGTAGCCACCCAGGGAAGAGCTAGGTGGCTGCCAAATCCAGCCTTAGAGACCCTGCAACACAGAGGTGTCCTCACGAAGGACGGCCCCTCCCTGTTTCTCTTAGAAGTTAATGAACGTCGAGGTGGTAGTGGGGCAGAGAGCCACGACAGTCACAGTCTTTTCTAGGACCCTTAGTTGTCTCACAGGGTCTCTGAATAAACCTTCCCACCTGAGCCTGGCTGCGGACCTCAGGAAGGAGGCTCCCTGGAAATGCCCAGCCCCCCACCTGCTCTCTCTGCTATTAGGGGTCGCCTGTTTTCCCACCACTTCAGACCATCTTCCCCCCGCCAGCCCTGTCCTGTGGCTCCCGGCCCACGTCGGGGACCTGACTTCTCCCACTTTTCCTCTGATACCCTCCAGGACACAACTTCCAGGCTGGCCCTCCGGCCTCCCCCTCTAAAACCAACAGGCAGAGAGATCCCAGCCCCTGGTCCCGCCTACTCAGCCCAGCCTCCTCCGAGGTAGGGGCCCAGCAGACATGAGCCTGCTAGGATTTTGCTCCGGAAGGGGTCTACCCCAGATGAGGCGTACTTGCCTTCAAATCCATACCCAAGGCAAGTGAGAGAGAAAGGGCGCTGGGGGAGAGGGGGCACAGCTCCCAGGGAAGCATGGGGTCTCCTAGCTCTGACTCACTGGGTGCAGCAGGTAAGCACTTACGTGTGCTTCACCGGAGAGGCTGCAGCAAACTCCATCCCTTATAAAGAGTAAGAACTGATGGGAAGACATAGCAGGAGGAAAAGAGACAGGCTTGCAAACTAGAAACTTAGGATTTCAAATACTGGAAAGGAAAAGATTACCTTGTGTGCTGAAGCCGGTGGTGGCCTCCGGGTCCCCAGAGCTGGGCTCGGTCACCTGCTGGTCTGCACTCGTGAGCTGCAGCAGGAGAGAGGAGGCAGTGCTAGGTCACCGTGGTCTGGAGGGAACATCACAGCAGCCTCTGGAAATCAAGGCTCGAGCTTGTCCTGTGGTTAGAAGTGCTGAGACACACACTCACACTGCAGTCTTCTCCCTCAGATCTGCAGGGAAGGGATGCGAGGCTGAAGACGCCACTGCCGAGGCCAAAGCCCGTTCCTCTGACGTCTGCTATGAGGCTCTCAAGAGCCTGCCCTGCCTTCCACTTACAGGCTCTTTTTGGGGCTGATGAAGGCCACACAGCATCCCTGTGTCCCTGGAGGAGGCAGGACAGCCCCTGCCCTCACTTCCAACCCCCCTTCTGAACCTTCCCTCTCTCCCTGCTTTCACTCTGGGAAGAGTGAGGCCATGGAGACCCACAGTCATGGGACTGGTGATGTTTTGGGCCAGCAGTTTGGACACCGGTGAGCATTTAAGAAACAGCCTGGTCTGAGTGAGCTCTCAACTCCCCAGAGCTGGCCTGTGCACCGCTTTCCCTCTGCCTTTTGCACGTGGGATGGAGAGGCTGCTCTCCAGGCCCCCTCCCTGGCTGAGCTTGCCCAGGGCCCCTCGCACACTGTCTGACTCCGTGCCAGTCGAGGGGAGCGGGTGGCCCTGACGCCCGCATTGTGTTGGACAGTCATGACACTTCTGCAGCTGTCTTCTGGAACGATCGTCCTGCCTGGAGAGGACTGGGGACTGTGAGGGGAAGGAGCAGCCTCCCCTCTGGGCAGGGACGGGGCCCCCCTGCCGCCCAGGCCAGCGTCTGACCGCGAGGAGCACTGCACACACGTGCCCCTGCGCTAGCTCAGAAAGTGACTTCTGAATCCTCGCACTTTTTCAGAATTGCTTGCAAATAATGAGCTCGAGGGAGGTGGGGAAGGTGAGGCCCGATTCCAGTATTTCTGCCTCCCTCGTCTCTGGGCCCAGGGTGGTGTTGCAGCCTGAACACTCCCTGTGATTCCACTTGCAGATAATACTGGCCGGCACTCTGCACCCCTCTCTGCCGGGAGGGCATTGGGGATCGGGTTGGGGAGAATTCACACTCCACATCCTCCCTTGTAGTCACGACACAACAATAACCTGTGTTGGAAATCTCTGCCAAGTATCTCCCGCCAAGTCACAAAACAGGAACAATGCCCCTAAGGTTCATTTCCTTTCATAACTCTCTTTCTGTGTCTAACCTTCTATTCGATTCTTTTTTCTCTTTTTTTTGGTAGGGGTGGGTGGCAACTTCAGGACCCGCTGTCTGAAAAAAAATAAAGCTTCTGGTAATAAAAAAAATATAAATAAAACAAGAGAAATCACATACACAGTGGGACCAGGTCAGGAGGAAATCGGATTCGTGTCAGATTTTGCAGAAGTGGCCCTGGCTTTCCTCTGGCTCCCAGTCAAATTTGGTTTCGAGAGAAGACAGCTCCTGGGAGCAGGGCATCTATCACCTCTTGCAAGCCAGGTGTCAAGGTCTAATTTGAACTTGGTCTTCCCTGACGTTCAAAGCCACCTTGCCCCATAACGCTGTGGGGAAGAGCTGCTCAGTTCCGACAGCATTTCCAATTAAACACAAGGGCCATGGAAGCAATCTGTTTGCGACATAGGATGTGCACTGAAATCTGAGTTTAGCAGTAAAGCCTCAGAGCACAGCTCCTGCAGGAGAGGGGAAGAGGTCGCTGTGTAAGGCAACGTGGATGCTCCAATGCCTGTTTTTATTTATTCCCAGATGCACACTTTTGACGACTTATCGTAATGGAAAAGTCACTTGGCATTTATGCAAATAAGCCAAGTTCCTCTCACCTCCCTTTCTTTTAGGGACTCTGGGGCTAAGATGCCAGGCGTGGAAATTCTGCCCGATTTCTGTTAATGAGTTTCCCGCTCCTGGGTGAGGTTGACCAGCTAGCTGTAGATTTACAAAGAGCTGATCTCGGGGGGCAGTTATCAGCCATCATGGAAAAGGTGCATTAAAGTTTTAGGTGCAGTCCTCGAAGACACCTCACTTACAGATTTTAAAACGTAAAGGTTATTTCATTTGAAAATATAAATAATAACTTGAGGGGCTTGGGGCTGGACACACCTCTGTCACGTCCACTGTCTTTCTCACAATGTCTAGTCCCACCTGCCGTATTGTCACTGAAAGTCCTGGAGTGCTACAGGGTCATGTCAGCCCCAAACACCCAGTTGTTCGAAGGCAGCTCAACAGTGTGACTTCCACAGTCACGAAATGTGCACCTAAGTGACCTCCGTGAACATCCTTCCTGTCCCTCAAGTCCCCCAGCCCGGCTCTGCGCCTCCGTCCCCTGCTGTCCCTCCCAGGCCGTCCTTCCTCCCTGGTGAGCCTCCCCCACTCCTTCCTCTGAGGCCCCAGAGGAGCTCCTCTGTCCCTGTCCCGGGGCCACAGGAAGGGGCTCCCCTCCATCTCCTGGTTCCACAGCCCGTGGACCAGGGCCCAGTCTTGGCACTCACACAGGACATCAACTGGGCAGATTCCCAGTAACTTTCCTGCTATAGAAGGAAATGTGCTCCTCTGAATCCTGCCCCAAAGCCATAAACCTCAAACCACAGGAAAGAGGACGCGTTGCAAGCCAAGCCAGAATGGCAGAGCTTGAATGTGGCCGCACCACGGGGGTCAGAACGAAAGTGCTCAGTGGAAGTGGGGCTTTTCTTCCCAAATTATAATTCTCCGGAGGAGCAGCTCCTGCCCCAGACAGACCCACACAGTGCGGGCTTGCTTCCTACGGGACATCTTCCTCGCTGTATCCAAACAAGTGCGGACAGGCCAACTGTCCTCACAAGGGACAAATTAGCCTCCTCGTTCACCCAGGAACAAGGGGTCCTGCTATAAGGGGAGGGCTGCCCAGGGAAGGGGGCAGCTGGCAGGCGCAGCTGTCCCTCCGTGGGCGCCAGTGGGTTTCCTAGACTCTCGGACACTAGGGACTGGGAAGCGCTGCTAAGCCTGGGGTCAGAGACTCAGCGGGGGAGGTGCAGGCTGCTCTGGGAGGGGAGGGCTGCAGCGGCCCCTCATCGCAGATGCTGCCGATGGTCCAGAGGGAAATGGGCCATGCAGACGGCCCGCTCTCCTGGGGACAACATGCGTGTGGCCACTTGTAAGCTACTGTGAGACAGGCCTTTGCTCTTAGAAGGTCTCTCCCCAAAATTCTGTGAACATTTCCATCTAGAGCATTCCTGATGCTTTTGGAAAATGGTGTCATATCGGTCTTAGAACCATTATTATCATCCTCTGATAGAGTCTATTCTTAGAAAAAAAGAGTGAAATAGCGATAAATACTCAGCATCCTTCTGGGTGCAGGTGTGGGCAGTCATCAGTAGTCACCCCCAAAACCAGTGGCCGCTTCCCAGCACTCGGGGGCCCTGAAGGCCTGGGGGGGGGCGGGAGCATTGCTGGGGTCTCACTGCCTCAGAGGAGGCACGTCCAGCCCTGTGGCTCTCCACAGGGTGGGGTATTCAGACTCGTCCATCACACCAGTCTCCATCTTCCCAAGGGGACATGGAGGGGCGGACTAATGGGCTAAGGGGGAGGCAGCAGGACTCCCTCCTGCTCCCAGGTGGCCAAGGAGAGTCACACAGCCCGTGGGCTTCCTGGGGTTTCCAGGCCCCTGGCCGGGGACCCTGCTGGTTACAGGGCAGAGCTGCCTGTCCGCGCCTGGGTCAGCCTTCCGTGCCCTGGTACCTCCCCTTGGTAACACCCCATAGACCGTTCCCACACCCCCTCTAGCTCCCTCCGACCTTGCCGCTTTGCCAAGCAACTTGCAAGTGATTTACTCGGGTTCCCAAGGTGTGCCCCCGGAGCAGCGGCAGCAGACGCTGGGACTCTGGCAGCAATGCCGCCCTAGCAGCCCACCCCGACCCCTGACCAGGAGCCCCCGGGGTGTACCCAGCACCTGCATTTGACTGACAAGCCCTGCAGGGAGTCAGGACACCCCACAGTCCACACTCCTGCTCCACCTCCGCAGGTCCCACCCCTCCTCCACTCAAGAGCGTCTGATCCGGCCCCTCTGACCCATGGCAGCCACGGCACACGGGTCCACTGGCCCCTCTATGCTCAGCCAGGTGGTGGGGCTCAGCCCTTCACAGCCTCCGGGCAGCACTTGGCCCATGCCTGCCTTCCTGACCACTGGTCTGAGTCCAGGCTTTGTGGGGCCTGCTCCCCACCCCGAGCCCTATCTGCTCTGCACCTGTCCTGTGGGCCGTCCTCCCCTGACACCCGCAGGGCTGTCACACCACAGGCTCTCCCTCTCCTCGGGCTCCCGCTCCTCCTGAGTGGCTTTTGCTGACTCAGAACCTGCCATGTGCCCAATCCTATCCTGTTCCAACCAATGTGCTTGGCACTACTATAGTCCCATTTTACAGATGAGGAAACTGAGGCCAAGTTTCCTTAACCTTTGCAAAGTGCACGCCTGTGACGGGTCAGGCTCCCTGAGGCAGCGGGGCGCCTGGCACACTCAGCTCAGAGACGGCCTGAGACCCATGGAGGGTGACAGCCGCCAGGCCTCCTACAGGACCAAGGATCCAGACAAGCATTCTCACATCTCTGGTTGATAACAACCTTGGTGAGTAGCTGAAACAGGCAACAGCCCCCTGCAGACCCAGATTATGACCGGAGCTCCACCCTTGGGGGCCCATGCCACCTCTTTCTGCACTATGTTCCCGGACACACCAGCCTGGACACATTTGAGGGGAGCCGAGGAAAATCAGCATGGATATTGGGGTTGGAATCCTGGGCCTGGGTTGCAATCTCTGCAGGTCCTGCCCTCTGCGTCCGCTGCCTCCTCTCCTGTGCGGGGCCGAGAGGACTAGCATCACACAGGCTGGCTGAAAGGCCTGGGGAGACCCAGACATGGGCCACGGGACAGGGAACAGATTGCCGGCTGGTCCGGCTGGGCCTCACCTGGCTGGCAGGGGACGGGCCCACCACGGCCTCGTAGGGCGGCGGAAGCTCGGCGGGGTAGAGCAGGCCGGGGCTGTTGATGGCGACGCCGTACAGGGTGCCGAACGGAGAGGGAGCAAAGTCCAGGTGGAGGCCCCTGGAAAGGCAAAACCACAGGACTGTCACTCCCTGGGGAAGATGCCCAGCTGTCCACATTTCTCTCAAAGCCATCCAAATGACTCCCCGCATCTGACATTTGTGTTTGTGAAAAAAAGCCTAATTGGCTAGGCAGTTTTAACTTTTGTTTTGTTTTTTTCAGGAAAGACAGACACTTCCAAGGAACTCTACGGCCCCTTCCATTACAATGAAAACCATCCCACAGCCGAGTAAGCCTTTATTAGGTTTGACACGTTCTAGTAAATGACCATAACTTGACAGAAGTTTTGCATTTTGTGAGAGTGAAACAGGACTGCTCACTCTGGCTGGGTCTCGTTTGCGCTGCACAGGCCAGCGGAGCAGGGGGCTCTCAGCTGCCTCTCCTCTTCCTTTATCCCCTCTCTCTGATCAGTGATCACACAGGCCACTTTCCGCCTGTCCCTCTACTCTGCTCCACCGACAGGAGCAGGGCCCTGCCACCCCACCTCCCCACGACCGCCTCCCATCGTGGGCCTGAGCACCAGGCATGGAGGGGTCCCCGGAAAGACCCACCTGTGGGCCTCGGCGGTGGGCGTGCAGGTGTACTCCGGAGGGTAATAGGGGGGAGGGGGCAGCGGGGGCACGAACTCGTCAAAATCCAGGGTCTGGTGGAGCACAGTGCCGTGCGGGGTCACGCAGGCCGGACTGGCAGAAGGTGCCCTTTGGGGAAGGAACTGGAAAACAGGGAGGTTCCGGGTGACTGAGGACGTCCCGTCTGGCCTGTGTCTAATTCAGTTCATTACGGACAAGCTTTAATGATCCGTTTGGAACTTCTGTAATTTCAACTGTCCAGCAGTGATGGCCAAACACACGTTTTAAAACGATGGCTCTGTGGGGAATGCCTGGATTCGAGATCTGTTCCCTACACTGTGACGCAGAATGCCTCTTTTCCAAGGCAAGGCACAGTCTGGGAATTCTGATTCTAATTGTAATTCTATTCCTGCCACTAAACCTGTTTCTTCCAAGGATGCTACTCAAAGCTGGTGGATAGAGGAGTGTCTGCCGTCCAGGGTTCAAGATGGCACTTCCTGAAGCAGGTTCATGAAGATCACCAGACTCTTAGGATATCCTTCCCGCCCCCTCCCAAATCCCTGCAGTGAAACAGATTTGGGCAAGGCCACGCTGGTACTGCCTTCTTGGGGCCATGCAGTGTGGTCAAGGCCCTGGGAAGGCCTGTACCAAAAGATCCATTAAACTGTCTAGCCCCTTAGTGAGACATTTCTCAAATATTCCTTTACAGGCCCCTCTGGACACACAAGATCCATCAGTATTTTGCAGTTCTGGGGAATTCACACACTTTGGAAAGCACTGCTTGGGAGAAAAGAATCTTTAACGAGCTCCAGAACATTCTGGGGGGGGGAGACCTTAAATCAGAGATGCTGCTTGAACAACACGGGGTGAAATCACTTAAAATGAAGCCGTCTCTGCTCAGCTCTCCATTTCTGCCCATGGGAGGCACTGATCAAAAATGGCTCTTCTTTCCACTGGCTGCTGCTCCCTAGAGACCACGGTGGCTTGGAGACGCCTGAAGCCCAGCTCTAGTTCCAACCACTACGTCCCTGCAAGTACCTCCAACTGTGATCAGGCCCTGGGACCTCCCCCTGCATGGGGGCGGTGAGGGGTCAGGGACTCAAGGACCCAGAGTCCACTGTATATGGCCAAGCCAGGACGGTTCCCAAAGGGAACGATGAACTCTCCAAGCTCTGTGGGAAGCTTGGGCGTCTACAAAGGGTTAACCAAGAAGAGGACATGTGAAGGGGCCTGAAAGATTAGGAAGAGTTCAACGAGTGGGCCTTGCAGAAGGTGCTCCAGGCTCCAGAAGAACAGGCGAGCTAGTAAAAGATGTGTTTAAGGACAGCAAATGTAGGCAAGGCTCTAGAAGTTAATTCCTAATTCTGGGGCACTAGGGAGCCAGTGAGGGTGCTGGAGTAGGGTGGCAGTGCCATTAAAGTTGTGTGGTAGGAAATGCCTTCTGGTAGCAGCGGACGGGGTGGCCTGGAGTTGAGAGGGGCCGGGGGGTGAGTGCGTAGAGCATTTTTGCATAACTATGAGTGAGGCCGCGATTCTGACTATGGTCCAAGGCTGTGAAATCAGCACGCTCTAGATGAATGGAGAGAGAATGGTGACCACGTCCAGACATGTAACACACCAGATGACATGCGGCTCCTGTTTCCTTCACAGGGAACACATCCCTGCCTCTCCAGCTGGAATGCCCTGCAGCTTGGGTGTTCAACTCTCAAAGAGCGGGCTGAGCCAGTGGCCACGGGCAGGCGGGTGTGTGTCCACCGTCCTTCATTCTGGGAGGCACTCGCCCTGATGCTATGGCACAAAGCCAAGCAGCCGGGACGAGGCCAACCGCCCCAGAGGTCTGACGGGCATACGGCCTGCCTTAGGCTCTACCAGAAATCAGAAAAATCAGTGATGTACTCAAGGAGGAAAAGCAAAAGCCAGAACGCTCTTCTACTGAAGGTACGGTTCCACCAGGAGTGAGAACAAGGCTTTCACGAGAGGTGAGGTGGTCCGGGGACCCTTTTAGCAGGTTTATATGAGTGAAGGCGGCCATGCAAGGGAGGCCTTTGAAAGGTTAATCGACAGGCTCCGCTTCTGCCCTCGACTCCAGGTGGCCTTTCCAGGGGTGTGTGGCCCTCTCCCCTGGGCCCCTGCTTCCGCAGCCAGAGGCCTGCCAGTCACACTGGCATCTCCCCGACACCCATCAGTATCTGTCTGGTGAGGCAGGGTCTGTCTGGGAGCCCAAGGTCACGGGCTCTGGACTCTGCTCTGAGGTGGGGGGAGGGGTGTGGATGTCCACACACGTTTCCCAGACTTGCAGCTGGCTTCCTGCTGGGTTCTGTCCCCCAGCTCTAGGGGTGGTAGCGGCTTCCATGGTTGTCCCTGTGTCACCAGGGCCCGCTCTGGCCCTCCTGCCTTCCACCGCTGGGTAACCAGCTCCCCTGCTAACTGTGTTGACATCCCAAAGGCAAGTCCCTCCCCCACTGGGCCCTGGCCATCGGGTCCATCTGTGTCATTCACGCCGATATCCCTGGGCCTGGTCTGGTGCTGCGGGTCCAGCAGGTGCCCTGGAAACATTCACTCCACACATGAATGGACACCTCCTTGCTGCCGCCTCCACGCAGCCCACTGTATCTCCTCCTTGCGGGAGCATCTAACTCGTCTCTCTGCCTTGGTCTTCTTCCTCTTGTTCTGCTTGTTCTTTTTAACCAACCCCATGAAGTCACTTCCTTTGAAAACTCTTTTCCAAGACCTCTGCTCCCTGAATCCCACCTGTTTCCCAGCCTCCTTACCCACGAACACACCGGGACCAAAAACCACTCCTCTCATCCTTGGAATCAACCCCAAAAGTCAAGCGTGGTCTGTTCTCTCTTCTGGATCCCATCTCCTCTCACCTGGCAGCCTCCCAAGCACCCTTCAGGGCAGGCAGAGATGCTCACTGTCTGCCAGCAAGCACGCACCTGCACCCTCCCAGGCTACGCATGCATGGGGATCTCCAGGCGCAGATCTGAGCCTGCATCTGGGTGCGCAGGGGAGAAAAGGGCCCTGAAGACTCACTTCTTTCCCAGGTGGTGCTGCTTGACCTGGGCCACCTGTAAAAGCCCCAGCAGGTCCGTGTGGTGACACAGGTACACAGGTGCCTGGTGGGCAAGTGAGGGTGGGACCTGCTGAGGTGAGGTTCACACACCTGGTGTGGGCATCACTGTCACCCAGCCTGCATCACCCACAAGAGAGGAGCGTGCACTTTAGACCCTGCTGGAGAGAGGTCCGTTCTTGTGGGTCTGCACTGGAGAGAGGGAGTCCCACCTTAGGATGTGCCGTCCGTGGCAGAAAGAGCAGGATTATTGCCACAGTAAAAGTTTTCTCAGGGGACCTCCTCTCTTCGAGCTGGGGCTCTCCCTCTGCCCCCAGACACTGGGGTGATGCCCGCCCCAGGCACCTGCTGCTCTCTGGTCCTGCCACCCCCGGTGAGTTCCACACCTTCCCGAAGCACGATGCCTTCTCGCACAGGCTAAGACCAGTTTTAGTCACTCGTGTAACCCACAAAGAAATATGAATGCAGACAGCGACACTTGCTTGTTCTGTGAAAACCAAGATGGATGCTTCCGAAAGACTTAGTGAAAAAGAATAGCTAAGCAGAAACTGCTGCCAAGTTAGGTCCCGGCGAGGCAGCCGTACGAGAGTGGAGATCTTAAAGCATCCTGGGGAACCGTGCTCTTGCTCCAGTTTAAAGGGACTAAATCTGGAAATCAGAGATGGGGGGATGTCTGTGAAGCTGATGCACGAAATACAACCTGATACACCAAACAGACCCGAAATCAAAGAGATCACGGCCCCGGACCGAAAGAAGGAGCCGGGGTTGGGGGGCGGGGTTGCTACAAATGCTTATTTGTGTATTTAAAGTCAAAATAAAATGTCTGTGGTACGTACGCACCATTTTTATGACTGTCTGCTCTAAGTGGCTTTCTAGGTCAAGCAGACACCAGGCCACTCAGGACCACACAGAGGAAAGACACATGGCCCCAGACATTATGTTTTCATCAACACACCACCACAGCTACAGCCGACTTCATTCTTATTTAGTTGGTAATTTCCATTTCAATTCTTGAAACGAAGGCAAAGTTTCAGCATTTCCAGCCCTTTGGATCTGTGGGTTTGGTCAAATTGGTGGGGTATTTACAGATCAATAGTAAAATCTGCCGAGGTGAGTGGAACCCTGCAGTACTTAACCTCTCCTTTACACACCACGCTGGAGAGAGTCGCCGACAATGAGCAAGGCCACAAGTTCATCGCTGCTGAATAACTGCCTAATTAGCTATCCTTCAGAAAGCGGCAACCTCTCGGGGAGGTCAGCCCGCTGTGACAGCTGTGTGGATATAAACGGGGAGAAAGAGACCGCGCAGAGCATACGATTAGAGACAATGAATTTTTAACGTCTTCGTAATGATGCTCCCTGGCCTTGTGTCTTGATTAACTGATGTCTTGCCACGGGGTGGAAGAGAAAGAACAAATCACACAGGCTCCTACAAGAACAACTTGTCTTCTCTTTCACGAGATGCATGAAACACTGGGGGGGATCCTGGCAGGGCAGGCCTTGAAGGGGCCATGAGGGAGAGGAGGGGAGCGTTTCTACCCTTGGCGTCGAAGAGCAATACCGCCCCCATCGTTTCCCTTCCTGAGCTGAATTTAGTGGTGACACAGCAGGCTGTGGGCCGTGTTCCACTCTTTTGAAACGACCAAGCACCTTCGTTCCTTATTGTGCATGTTAATAAGTGTGTGACCCCTGCTCCTGGTCTCACTGCTCCCCCTGGGGACCAGGACTACATTTTCTCTAAGACCCTGGCCAGAGGCTCAAATGATGGCCAGCCTGTGGCCTGCCCCTGAATTATGAGCTCAGGGTTAATTAACAAAGCACAGAGGAGACATTTTTCAATCCGAGAAGAACTCATCCTCTAAACAGTCTTCCTGTACTGAAGTGAATTCTGAAGCCTGGGGAAAGTGCCTTGCTCTGGACATGCAGGGCCCAGAGGCTGTCTCAGGCTGCAGGACTGTCACTAGAATTACTCAGGGGCACACACCAGGGGCCACTTAGAGGCGTGCAGTGTAGCTGGACTCCATCGATGGGGAGCTCCAACAACACCTAAGATAAGTACATCAGTGGCACCGAATGTATGGGTTCCAGAGGGCAGCGTGGAAGGGCCTCCAAGGATCTCCAAGCCCCGTGAGCTGTCAGGGCTTACTGTCCTCAGGGTTTCTGGGCGGAGGGCAGCAGTGTCCACTCTACACTGGTCTCTAACTGGCTGGAGCCGCCACTTTGGTGTGTTGGGGGGAAGGGGCCACTCACCATCTGCAGGACGTCGGAGGAGACCATCTGCATGCAGCACATGGCTGTGGCCAGCGCACACACGATGGTGGAGAGCACGTTGAGGGCACACACGCTGAAGAGGAGGTCCTGTGGGAAAAGACACGGAAGGACGTCAGCCTCGTCTTGGCAACGCAGAGGGCAGAATCCTCAGCGTGGCTGTTAAGGTCTGGGATGAGGGTGGTCAACTGTTTAGTGGGGTTTTCTTTTTCATCAGCAAACCTGGCCTTTCACAGACACATCTGTTTATTCCTCTTCATGGCTGATCAAATTGTACTAGATACTAAAGGATGTGTATTATGATAATTATTATAGTCACTGTCTAAGAAAATCTTCAAATCACCAACATCTAAGTAGGTGGGGAATCTATCAATTACAAAGTATAACTGAAAATGATGAAAAGGAATAAAATTCTAAGTCTTTAAAACCTTTTATGTTGAGATAACTGTAGATTCACTTGCACTTGTAAGAAATAACAGAGAGATACTGGGGACACTTCACACAGTTTCCCCTGTGGAAACATCTTGCAAAACCATTGCACAATATCATAACCAGGACTGACAAGTACAGGACACCTCCATCACCACAAGGATTCACCCCTGCCCACCCGTGTGGCCCTTTTATAGACACACTCACCTCTCTCCCTGCTCCCCACACAATCTCCCTTTCCTGACACCTGTCAACCATTCATCTGGTCTGCATTTTTATAATTTTGTCATTTCAAGAATAGTACACTACTGGAATCATAAAGCATGTAACTTTTCAGAACTGGCTTTTTTTCACTCAGCATAATTCCCGCAAGATTCATCCAAGCCTTGGCGTGTATCAACAGTCCGTCCCCAAAACAAAACAAAACAAACAAACAAAAAAACAGTCCGTCCCTTTTTACTGCTGAGTAGGGTTCCATGTTTGTTCACTCACCAGCTGATACATGACTGGGTTGTTTTCAGGTTTTGGCTATTGCAAATAAGCTCAGGAACATCTGCACACGGATCTTTGTTTGAACACAAGTTTTTACTTCCCTGGGATAAGTGTCCCAAGGGTACAATTGCTGGGTCACACGTCCTTTGTCAGATGTGTGGCTTGCACTGTTTTTTCCCAGTCTGCACCATGTCTGTGTCTAGCCTTAGACGGTGGAGATTTTCTCCCGTTGTTTTTTTTTTCTAAAAGCTTTTATAATTTTACATTTTTACACGTAAGCCTGTGGTCCATTTTGAGTTAATGTTTGAATAAGATGTGAGGCTTAGGTTAAGGTTGATTTTTGTGTCTTAAATTTTTTATCTCTACATATTCCCTGCCAGGAATATAGAAATGTGGTTTGTGTTTGTGTCTTTCTGGTACCCTGTTGCCTTGGGGTTTTCCGTACAGACAATCAGGCCATCTGTGAGTGTTTTGTGTCTTCCTTTCCAATTTGTGCGCCTTTTACTTCCTCTTCTTGCCTTACAGCAGTAGCTAGAACTTCAAGTATTATGAATAAGACGGTGAGAGCAGGTATCTTTGTCTCGTACTCTCAGAGGGTCCACTCATCGGATTTTAACTATCCAAGTACAATTCCTCCCTCTTTAGGTACTTTACTCTCAAATCCATGCCAGAAATAGGAAAAAATAATCATGATTCACAAAAATCACCGAAGACTTAGATCAATTATATATCTTTCAGTATAATCTCAAAAACATTCTCTGATATAAATCTTAGCAACGTTCTCCTAGGGCATTCTACGTAGCCCGGCAATAGAAATAAAAGCAAAACTAAACAAACGGGACCTAATTAAACTTTACCAGCTTTCGCAAAGCAAAGGAAACCATAAGTAAAATAAAACCACCACCTACGGAATGGAAAAACAAATTCACAAATGATGCGACTGATAAAGGTTTAATTTCCAGAATATATAAACAGCTCATACAACTTAATCACAAAAACCCCAAACACCCCAATCCAAAAATGGGCAGAAGACCTAAACAAGCAATTCCCCAATGAAGAAATGCAAATGATCAATAGGCACATGAAAAAATGCACAATATCACTAATTATCAGAGAAATGCAAATCAAAACTACAATGAGGTATCACCTCACACCAGTCAGAATGGCCATCATTCAAAAGTCCATAAATGATACATGCTGGAGAGGGTGTGGAGACAAGGGAGCCCTCCTACACTGCTGGTGGGAATGTAGTTTGGTGCAGCCATTATGGAAGACAGTATGGAGACTCCTCAAAAAACTAAAAATAGACTTACTACATGATCCAGCAATAATACTCCTGGGCATATATCTGGAGAAAATTCTAATTTGAAAGGATATGTGCATCCCAATATTCATAGTAGCACTATTTACAGTGGCCAAGACATGGAAACAACCTAAATGTCCATCTGCAGATGACGGGATAAAGAAGTTGTGGTATATTTATACAATGGAATACTACTCAGCCATAAAAATAATGCCATTTCCAGCAACATGGACGAACCTGGAGATTGTCATTCTAAGTGAAGTAAGCCAGAAAAAGAAAAATGCCACATGATCTCATTTATATGTGGAATCTGTAAAAAAGACAGACAAACTTATTTACAAAACAGAAATAGAGTCACAGACATAGAAAACAAACATGGTTACCAAGGGGGGAAGGGGGTGGGAAGGGATAATTTGGGAGTTCTAGATTTGCAGATACTAACTAATACATATAAAATAGATTTAAAAAACACTTCTTCTATATACCACAGGAAACTAGATTCAATATCTTATAGTAACCTGTGGTGAAAAAGAGTATGAAAGCAAATACATGTATGTTCACATATGACTGAAGCATTATGCTGTACACCAGAAATTGACACAACACTGTAAACTGACTAGACTTCAATAAATACATATATATATACACAAAGAATATGAAAATGAAAAAACTCTTAAAACTAAACATGAAAACATATATATGTATAATTGAATCACCATGCTTTACACCAGAAGTTAATACAATACTACACTGTAAACAGATGATACTTAAATTTCTTTAAAAAGACCAGTAAAAAACTGAAAACCACCAGTAAAAAACTGAAAACCTCTCTCCTACAAATGACAACCAAAACAAAGCTAGGGATGAGGGTATAGGTTAGTGGTGGAGTGAATGCCTAGTATGCACAAGGTCCTGGGTTCAATTCCCAGTACTTCTGTTTAAAAAAGATAAATAAACCTGAAATTACCCCCTGCCCATTAAGAAAAAAAAGGAAAAAAAAGACAAAAAGTTTTTAAAAAGCAAACAAAGTTAAAAACAATAACAACAAAACTAAATGACAAATCACAGACTGCATAAGATTTTTCATGACTAAGTTCATCATTTAGAACCAGGAACAAATAATCCAACAGGAGAGCAGACAAAACAGGCAATTCGTCCATGAGAAAACACAGGTGGCCATTATATTGACCATATACGACAAGTCAAGACAATCTGGACGAGGATGTGCACGGAGCAAGGGCACGCCCCCCGCTGGCGGTGAGGACATGTGTCAGGGTCACCCCCTCCCGGAGAAACGGGAAACGTTTCAGAGAAGAGCAGGCGCACTTGCTCACACCCCGCAAGCACACCTGCTAGAGGTACAGGACTGCGCCTGCTCACAAGTGTGTGCCTGTTCAGCCAGCGCCGTGACAGCAGAGAAAAACTAGAAACCACTTATGGCCATGAATGTGAGCCAGAAAGTGTCTTGTAGAATATTCTGATACTGCAAGACTAGACAGAATCTAAAATGACAGAACTCAAGCCACATACATACCCACGCAGATAAACATCAAGAAGCCACTAAACATCAAAGACAGAGGGCAGAAGCAGGAAACTGCTTATGGTACCGACGATATCCAATTTTATGCAAAATTTCAGCAAAGTATGCAAACCAGCAGGGGAATGGCAAAGCCCACGTCAGGACAGTGGCTGTCCCTGGACACCCTCTAATTTCAGAGACGGAGAGAGCCATGCCTGGGCTCTCAGTGGGGTCTGTAAAAATATCTAATAATAGAGTTCTTATTTTTTAAAAAATAATTAGAAGCAAATATCATAAACACGCTGAGACTGGGCAAACGTGGGTGGTATTTGCCATACCATTCTGGCTTCTCTGGGTGGTGACCTGGGCTCCTGTCTCGCAAGGTAGATGCGTCAGGAGGTGAACAGGGCCAGGCCTGTGCAGGGCACCACTGTTCACACAGAAACGGCCCACGTCTCCTCCTAAGTGGATCCTGTTGGAGGAAGCTGCGGCCCGTGTCATCTCAGCTATCCCCATGAAGGCCTGAGGATGGTCAGCCACTCAGAACCATTGTGCTCAGCTCCCACAATTGTCTAATGCCTTCTTCGAGGTTCCCCAAGCAGGGCCTCTCAATTTCCACATCGAATCAAACCCCTGAAGGAACCTCTGCATCCCGGCACCAGCCCATCTTGGTCTCTCTGGTCTTTGCCTGCATCCTGTTCTTCACCCATCACTCACCTGCCACAGAGACACGGAACAGCTCGAGGTGTAACCCACACATGTAAAGCATGCACATTTCCAGCATGGAATCTGTTGAGTTTTGACCCATGTACACACCGTGTAGCTGAAAGGGAGCAGGACCCTGTGCACCCCCCTACCCCTGCCTCTTGTTTATAGAGAAGATTTAGTCTCCCAGGCCTCCCTGACTCTTGAAAGAGCTGGGCCAAGCAGTTGACTAGGACAAACCTGCAGGCACTGGGGGATGACAATGACTCTGACCACCTATCTCAACGACTAACTGAGTTATTCCTTCAGTTCCCTTTAAAACATTCGTGGCTGAACAGAATCTTTGGAGATTTTTTTTTAGGGGAAGGCTGGGTCCACTAGGCATTCTAATTAAAAGCAACTTTCCTTTTTGTTACCAAGGCTGCTGCCTCCAGGATCATACCCCTGCCCCTCCCTCTAATAGAAACCAATTACTCTTATCTAAGTCTCAAGAGGCAGCTGCAGAGAAGAAATAAGAACTGATTAGAACCCACCCAGTCCAAGATGGTGGAGGATCTGACTCCAGTGAATCTTGAGCCACATCATATATTAATTGTAACGTGTTAGCTGCTAAGTGACTCACCCACCAGCACCGTGACAGTT